TTCTGCTGTTTTTTTTTTTCAGTCAGGTGCAGCGTTTCTTCTCCCCTTCCTCCCCCTCCTCCCCCTCCTCCCCCTCCTCCTTCCCCTATCTTTGCTGACATGGTGTATAAAGCTCCCAGGTGCCTGAAGAACGATGGGTCAAAGATGTTTTTTCCGGCGTTCTCATTCCTAGAAATAGATTTCCTAGTTTCACTCTCTTGTTTACTCCACTTCTCATCAGGGTCAATGAACTAACTCACCAATGGTGGCATACATGGTTTTTTCTATTGCCTTACAGTGAGAATGTCACTGGTTTACTGGTTCAATTCCCAGTCTGACCACAGTTTATTTGTTGACTTTAAATCAGTGGTCTCAAACTGTGGGTCGAGGGCCGCTGCTGCCACCGTCCTCAGTCAACAATAAAAAGTGGCTTTTTTTGGTGGAATTTAAACATTGTATTCAACGACCAAATACCTCAGATCTTTTTATAATTAAAAATGAAATAAATGTTTCAAGGGTGAAATCATTAGTGACAGAAGTCACAGTCAGATGTGAGGGGTTCGTGGGCCAGAAGTGGCACTGAATATCCAACTCCACGGTCCGTACGTTTATCGTTGCTGTCTGTTAGAAAGTTGTCATTTGGACACGTTGTGGGAAAACAGTGTCGTTTCAGCAGCTTGACCTGGATGATGGTTACGATCATCCTCGTGATGAAGTGATCATGTGACACTCCTGGTTTTTGTCTTTCATGTTTAAACATGTATTTAGCAGTTTTCTGTTTCAGGTCAGAGGTCAAAACGTTCGTAGCCAATCTGACCAGGTTTTAAAGTAAAAAACGACTTCACATTGTTGTTGAAACTCTCCACAGAACTTCATCTAATCATCAGTGTAGTACTACTCTGTGTACACATGTACTGTCTCATGTACTTGTGTTTATTTGTGTCCATGAATAATAGACTGAAGTGTCTGGTATTTTTAGCTGCAGTATCAAATCTCCTCCACTCCCACTGAGGAAACATCAATATCACAATCACTGATGGAACGGAAGGTGTGTGTGTGTGTGTGTGTGTGTGTGTGTGTGACCTTGGTTAACTGTGACTCCTCCTAAGTAGGCCAGACAGTTAAGGGTTAATGTATTTCTGAAGCCTTCAGAGAACTGACGGAGGAAAGTACCACCTCCACCAGCTCAAATACCAAATAGGCAGAGAGAGACGGGTGAGGGGTGGGGGTGGG